ATGAGTAATTAGTACATGATTTAGTATTCAAAAACTAAATAAGAATAATTTCAACACAGAGCATGGGCAAATCACTGCAGCTGTATGATGAGGACAGCCTGTATGAGGACGGTCGAGGCCACTGCAAGGACCCACATTGTGAGAGACAGACCTGGAAGCTGAGATACCAGCTGGACATGGCCTTGCTGAAAATCAACAACCTTCAACACAACCTGAGGTTTGGCTGTTACTTCTGCTGTCTCATTACGGCTGTAGAAAAAGTGTAATTTAACAATGGTCAAGTTTTCCTTGCAATTGCTAAAAAAATAAATAATGATAGTGAAATGGGGACTAATGGGGGAGGAGAGGTAGGAGAATCAACAAGATGTGAAGATGTGGTGGCAGAAGTGAAAAAGATGGGGTAGAGCATGGGAGAAGCTGCTGGAAATGGCATCGGGTAGAACTGATTTAAGGAGGAGGTGCAGGGGGCGGGTACTAGGCAGGTGACATGTACATGTGAGTTTCACCCAGTAGTAGTGGTGGTTGTAGCTGTGCTTCTACCATTTGTTGGCTAATAGATCTACACTTACTGCATCTGTTTTACTACAACTATTGTGACAACTACAATTACTACTGTTGTTACTACTGATGCTGTTGCTGCTACTACTAGTGCTACTACCATTTGTTGGCTAATAGATCTACACTTACTGCATCTGTTTTACTACAACTATTGTGACAACTACAATTACTGCTGTTGTTACTACTGATGCTGTTGCTGCTACTACTAGTGCTACTACCATTTGTTGGCTAATAGATCTACACTTACTGCATCTGTTTTACTACAACTATTGTGACAACTACAATTACTGCTGTTGTTACTACTGATGCTGTTGCTGCTACTACTAGTGCTACTACCATTTGTTGGCTAATAGATCTACACTTACTGCATCTGTTTTACTACAACTATTGTGACAACTACAATTACTGCTGTTGTTACTACTGATGCTGTTGCTGCTACTACTAATGCTACTACTGCTGCTGCTGCTGCTACTACTAGTGCTACTACTACTGCTGCTACTACTAGTGCTACTACCATTTGTTGGCTAATAGATCTACACTTACTGCATCTGTTTTACTATAACTATTGTGACAACTACAATTACTGCTGTTGTTACTACTGATGCTGTTGCTGCTACTACTAGTGCTACTACCATTTGTTGGCTAATAGATCTACACTTACTGCATCTGTTTTACTACAACTATTGTGACAACTACAATTACTGCTGTTGTTACTACTGATGCTGTTGCTGCTACTACTAGTGCTACTACTACTGCTGCTGCTGCTACTACTAGTGCTACTACTACTGCTGCTGCTGCTACTACTAGTGCTACTACTACTGCTGCTGCTGCTACTACTAGTGCTACTACTACTGCTGCTGCTGCTACTACTAGTGCTACTACTACTGCTGTTGCTGCTACTACTAGTGCTACTACTACTGCTGCTGCTACTACTACTTCTACTACCACTGCTGCTGCTATTACCTTTTCTACTTCTGTCCCCCCACCACTATCACCATCCTAACTACTACTGCTACCACCAACACTACCTTTGATAGCTCTACTACTAATACAACAGTCATGCTAATACAATAGTCATGCCAATAATTACTATTTTACACATTAATGAATACAACAAGTAATAAAGCCAGTAATGTTCTTATGTGCTGTCTCTGTCAGCAGCTCTCCAGAGACTGAAACTCTTGACCTGAACATGCTGGACCGTGAGCAGGACATACCTAGTAACACCACAGGTAACATTTTCACTGCAAACGGAACAGGTCGCCAATTGTTGAACAACCCAGTGTCTTTACTCAATGTCCTGAAACTGGAGGAAGTCACAAAACCATCTTCTACTCATTGGCCACAACTTCCATGTCGGGTGGAGTGTCAGGAGGTTCCCGTGCTGGGTAATCATTCATTAGGATGTCATCAAATAAGATTGCATGGTTCGGAAGACACACCATGTGAGGAGATCAAGAATAGGAAGAATTATCGTGTCAGTGAAATCACAGACTTATCTACAGAGGATAATATTTCTCTCTCTCTATTGCCACTTCCTGAACTGGAGGACAGGTATCCTCCTGAGCACGGTGAAAGAAACAATCGTATCTCTACAGTTTGCAGAGACACATATTTTGGAGACACCAGTTTATCATATACTGATATCATCAGCGGAAATGGAAATTGTCACAGTGAAAACTGGAATTCCCTCTGTGACAATGGGAAGTCTCTCTGCGACAACGGAAATTCCGTTTGCGACAACATCCTTACTTGTTACGACAGCTGCTCCTACCAATCCCCAGTTCACAAACTACGAAGAACGCCCAGTTACACATCTGCAATTGGGGGTAGCATGAACTCTGACCTCACCGGGGTCACTCCCACCCACGGCCCTGCCAAATTCGGCCATCTTGATGATAGCCGGTACTCTGTTGTTAGCAGCAGCAATGCACTCACGTGATTTGTCCATTTGTTTCAGTCATCTCCAACAATATGTCTTTAGTCATCTCCAGCAATATGTCTTCAGTCATCTCCAGCAATATGTCTTCAGTCATCTCCATCAATATGTCTTCAGTCATCTCCAACAATATGTCTTCAGTCATCTCCAAAAATATGTCTTCAGTCATCTCCAACAATATGTCTTCAGTCATCTCCAGCAATATGTTGTCAGTCATCTTCAGCAATATATCTTGAGCCTTCATTTGCACTTTTTGCTAGTTTGAATTCTGACCACATTTTGATGATGTCTGTGTGATTAAGGTTTTTTTTTTTTTACATCTTGAGACCAACGTTCTGCAGACATTTTACCGCTGCCCACCTGACATCCCATATTGTGTTAATGGCTTTCGGCGGAGGAACACATTGTGAAGGATACTAGCCTTATCCTAGGAAGAGAAAGGTTAGTTGCGTATCCTTTACAGGACGTTGCAGAACCAACCCCAACAGCCTCTGGCTGTTGTGTGTTTTTTCTAGGCAAATTTACGTCCAGTAGTTTGCCATAGCTTCTGGACGGTCGGCTTTCTTGATACCACTGTCCAAACCAATGCAAGGCGGACTGCCCGCAGCTGGGATCGAACCCGGCATCCCGGCATTACCAAGCACTCATATCGACTTAGCCACAGAGCCGACTAGGAAGAGGAAATGCAACCTGAAAACTTTATATTATGGCAGGACAAACCAGGCCCTTAGCCTTGGCTGGCAGCTAGTGTAAGAGGAAAGCTCTGACAGGCGGACAAATAGAGCACTGCTTTTCTGATCCGGTACTTCTACAACCCTGCTTTGTTCCAAAAATACTGGTGTTACCTTTCCTTGCAGTAAATAAGGCAGGTATAGAGCAACATATGGTCTCTAGAATACTGTCTATACAAACTTTGTGCTGTGAAGAGGATGAACTTCATCCCTGACCGTAATTGTTCTGCCATGGGCTGTGAGTCCCATGCCTCCTCATAGCCCAATATAACACTGTTGTCTAGAAAGACGGAAAGGTGCCAGTGAGTTAGTCAGTCAATATACTTGGTTTTATATGACATCAGAGTATAGGAACTTTTGAGCTGAAATGCTATAGAAAGATTCTCAGAATATCTTGGACAAAGAAGAGGAAAAATACTGACATCTTGAAAGATCTGAACATCAAGGAAGATTGAGTATGAAAGTACATATGGCGGGAGAGCTGACGAGAGACCGAGTTTCTTTCAGACGACCTGCTACATGATGATGACATATGACATCTAGCTTGCCACCTTGTTTGGTGGAACCAAACCCTAAGCATCCTCTGAGCCACCCCGAACTTCCCTAAATCCACCCTCACACCCCCCCCCCCCCCCCCCCCCCCCGAACTTCCCTAAATCCACCCTCCACCCCCCCACCCCCCAACTCCCTTTGATCTATCAATGTACACAAAAACGAAGCTAGTATTCACCATCTCTCTTCCCGTGACCTGATTAATCAATTTTACTTCTGCAAAGTCATATCCCAACTGATTACCCTTAGCTAACAAGCCAACACAGCAATAGCCACATTTGCAATAATTTTTTTTTTTGCTATACAGAAAGTCATAGCATCATTTGTCTTGACCCAAAAAGTCATAGCATCATTTTTCTTGATCCAAAAAGTCACAGCATCATTTGTCTTGACCCAGAAAGTCATAGCATCATTTGTCTTGACCCAAAAAGTCATAGCATAATTTTTCTTGACCCAAAAAGTCATAGCATCATTTGTGTTGACCCAAAAAGTCATAGCATCATTTGTCTTGACCCAGAAAGTCATAGCATCATTTGTCTTGACCCAAAAAGTCATAGCATCATTTGTCTTGACCCAAAAAGTCATAGCATCATTTGTGTTGACCCAAAAAGTCATAGCATCATTTGTGTTGACCCAAAAAGTCATAGCATCATTTGTGTTGACCCAAAAAGTCATAGCATCATTTGTGTTGACCCAAAAAGTCATAGCATCATTTGTGTTGACCCAAAAAGTCATAGCATCATTTGTGTTGGCCCAAAAAGTCATAGAACCATTAGTCTTGACCCAAAAAGTCATAGCATCATTTGTCTTGACCCAAAAATAATCACTGACATCCTTCAGCTAACAATCTGACATGAGGCCATCTTAAAGCCACTGGTGGAATCATCCCCAGCTTGTCTGGATACATCCCTAGTCTCTGGTAGTGAATCTGAGACTTGTAAATCTGTGACTCTGTTCATCCACACCTGATCAACCCTTAATATGCCTTCGTTTGTTTTGCTCCTTGCCCCTGCAGTCTGAGATCCACAGGATTAATCCTACAATAATATGGATGCAGCTCGCTCTTTACTACTGGCAAGGGAAAACCACTGCTGTATTTTTTTTTCTAGTAAATCATGCCTTTAAACAGATTCAGCCTGTTGTCACAGCAACAAGGAATGTCAGCACACAAACTGATGAATGCTGCTGAAGATCGCAGACTGTGAAGAGGCATGATCGCCCACACTTGTTGGCAAGGCGCTTGATGATGATGGTTAATGATTAGTTAGTTGGCTAAATACTAGGTGCATTTTATTTTTGTGCAGGGAGTGGGTTAGTTAGTTGAGTGTTGATGAATGCTTCTTGAATAGATAGTGGATAATGAAATGGTTGATCATTTAGAACTTTGTTGGGATATTTGACTTTTTCAATTTTGGTTTGTTTGTTGGTTACTTTGTTGTTCTTGCTTTTTGGTTGTATAGATAATGAGTTGATTTGTCAATTGAATGGCTGATTGACTGAGTCAGCTGCTTGGTTGTTTTTAATTGCTAAATCAAGGGTGTTCGGTTTCACTAACTAGATGGATGGTTAGTTGAGTGATTGATTTGTTTGTTGACTGATTTGATTCTCGACTGATTCGGTTGTGGTTTTGATGGTGACATTTTAAACTAATTAAGTTTGGAATGTGTTTGATGGTTCATTTGATAACTGATTGACTGTGTGCTAATTGGCTGTGTACTGATTGGCTGTGTGCTGATTGACTGACTGTGTACTGATTGACTGTGTACTGATTGACTGTGTACTGATTGGCTGTGTGCTGATTGACTGTGTACTGATTGACTGTGTACTGATTGACTGTGTACTGATTGACTGTGTACTGATTGACTGTGTACTGATTGACTGTGTACTGATTGGCTGTGTGCTGATTGGCTGTGTGCTGATAGGCTGTTGGTTGGTTTATTTAATGATTAGTTGCTTGGTTTATTAGTACTGTGTAAGGTTGTAGGTTTAAGGAGAGAAGGTCGGCCTCATTGCACCAACCTGTTTTATCATGGCTTGGGCTCGCTCTCTCAGCAGAAAGGCTTGCTGCCTGAAGAGAGTGTGGCACAAAGTCTGTAGCTCCAGTGATGAACCCTACAGGTTTTCATAAAAATTGCACTCATGAACCAAACAATGCAGCCATGAAACGAACCTATGACATTCAGAATGCAAGGCTTGACTACTTCACTGTAGAGACCCTGAAAGTGCTGTGTAAAGATTGAGATAGCTTGTGGCACTGATTGCAAATACAATTATCCATCTGTTTTTCACCCTGACAAGGTCAGTTGGTGTGGTATGTTGTGGTTTACAGATAGGCTGTGGTATTTGCAGCTTTCAGCCCAAGACATGACTTCAACAAATCCCTAGTTGGTCACGTTTTATGGCATGCTTGCTACATGTCAGTGGGTCATGTATTTCCCCCCATTCCGTCACCACCCCCCAACCCCCTCACCAACACCCCCAACCCCCTCACCACCCCAACCCCCTCACCAACACCCCCAACCCCCTCACCACCCCAACCCCCTCACCAACACCCCCAAACCCCTCACAAACACCCCCCTCACCAACACCCCCAACCCCTTCACCACCCCAACCCTCTCACCACCACCCTCAACTTCCTCACCACCCCAACCCCCTCACAACAACCCCCAAACCCCTCACCAACACCCCAAACCCCCTCACCAACACCCCCAAACCCCTTCACCACCCCCCCAACCCTCTCACCACCCCCAACCCCTCACCGAAACCCCCAACCCCTTCACCACCTCCAACCCTCTCACCACCACTTCCAACCCCCTCACCACCCCAACCCCCTCACAACACCGCCAAACCCCTCACCAACACCACCAACCCCTTCACCACCCCCAACCCTCCCCAACCCCCTCACAACACCCCCAAACCCCTCACCAACACCCCCAAACCCCTCACCAACACCCCCAACCCTCACACCACCACCCCCAACCCCCTCAGCATTCCCCCATATGTGGCTCAGGAACTCTGATTACACAAAATCCAGATAGCCTGTTCAGCCTCAAAAAAAGTCAAGCATGTTAGTCTGCAGTCCTGTGTGGGAGTCAGGGTTGTGATATGCTCTACTGTCACACATACATGCTTTTAAAAGACATATGTGCTTGTAAAAGACATACGTAAAGACATGCATGCTCCTCTAAAAGACATACCTGCTTCTAAAAGACATATGTAAAGACATGTGTGCTTCTCTAAAAGACATACGTAAAGACGTGTGCTTCTCTAAAAGCCATACGTAAAGACATGTGTGCTTCTCTAAAAGACATACGTAAAGACGTGTGCTTCTCTAAAAGACATACGTAAAGACGTGTGTGCTTCTCTAAAAGACATACGTAAAGACATGTGTGCTTCTCTAAAAGACATACGTAAAGATGTGTGCGCTTCTCTAAAAGACATACGTAAAGACGTGTGCGCTTCTCTAAAAGACATACGTAAAGACATGTGCGCTTCTCTAAAAGACATACGTAAAGACATGTGTGCTTCTCTAAAAGACATACCTGCTTCTAAAAGACATGTGCTTCTAAAATGTATACATGCTTCTAAAATACATACAGTGATAAAAATGAAGAGCTGACAAAAAAATAGATAGTACATTTTAATGCTGTTGCACCCTCATAATTACATAAACATAAATTTGCATGTGTACAGACAATTTATGTGAACAATTTGCCAAAT